GAATTGCGAGTTTTTTTACTGTGCCCAAAGGAGCAGAACCGTGTTAAAATGAGTTCGCAACGCGTTTCAGGCACCATCTTCACACCGAAACACAGACCAGCGGAAAATTATACAATTATTAAAATAATTTTCAGAAATGCAATTTCAATACAAATCAAAATATTTACAGTAGTAGGGGCAAACCTATCTCTCCAGATATAATTATTTATTTTCTATATAGAGCGGAAGAAATTAATTGAATATGGGTTGTATTAACTATAATGGATACACTTTATTGCACAATGCATAATTCAATTTTCAATACCGCATCGTAATTTATTAAACCTTCCTCTTCTATAGGTCCTGAAACACGCGGTAAACATGACCGTATCATTGGCCTAAAAACACGTTTGACAGGTCTCGTCTAGATGAATCAACGATATTGAAGTCCGAAAACAGAAATAATGTGCTCTTTGAGGTACAGAGTTTGAAAAGTTTAAATAAATACAATAAACAATGCATTCGTGTTCAGTAATATACAGATTAAAATAATTTAAATTAATTATTTTCTCGTTCTTACATTTAATCTATGCAGTGACAAATAACGTAATTAAATGAGGGAACACTTTTAAATAAATAATTGTAGTAAACTACACGTGCTATTCATATAATCTCCGCTTTGTAATTTAAATTAAAACTAAGGTGGACACGCGCATTTTATTACTACTTCAACTGGAAAATATCCCACGTGTCCATTTCACAAAGGCATTGTACCGGAAAGGGAAACGGTAGCGAAACCCAAGTACCAAAGCAAACAGTAGCTGTGGGACCGGACAAAGCGAACCTCACAGAAAACGCAGTCGCGTCCCTTATCTGACGGTAAGAGGGGAGTTTAAAAGTAAATTTCGCGCTTTTAAATTAAAACTTTCTTACACTCCACAGATTATACCTTGTGTGCACTGCCATACTTTTTTCACACACCTTCTTTCTCCACACAAAGGGATCGAAGTTCCTGTTGAAAAACAGTGCTGTCACGTCCGTTATGACATCGCATGTTCTCCGTTTGACGCAGAAAAGTAAAGCTCCATGAGTTCCAACCTGAAGTTGGGATCAAAAAACTGTTAGGACTGATTCTACTCGCTTGTTATGCCAGGAATATCGAAAAATTAATTTTGAAAGAAAGTCGCGGCATATTTATTCCAGGCACATCTCCCCCCCCCCACCCCCCTCAAAAAAAAGTTTTATTTTCTTGCGTCCAGTATTACACGCTTCAACAGCGCGACTTGACAGTGTGGTTAAATCGTGAGCGGCAGAACACAACACAAACAGAAATGCGTGATTGACACTGATCGGTTTACCTCTGACCACGTGGTAATCGCTGCTATGGTGTGACTGTCAGCCGCCAACTTGACTGATTGTTTGTTTGGATGGGGATGAATGTTTACTTTCTGGCCTTGGCTACATTTATCATAATTCGCTGTTAGTTTTACAGAAGACTAATTTCAATTGAGATGATACAGAAGCTGTCGTGTCCTAATTTAAGGAATTATCACGACGTTTATAAAATCTGACCATCTCCTGCGTAACTTAATGAATCGCGGTCCTAGGTATGTAGTGATCAAAGATGATGATAATTGCTGTGAGCAGACCTATTAAGACACCCGTAATTGCTAAAACAACTTAAAGCATTCCGAAATCGCTTTAAACAATTTTCTAATAGCCTACATCTCTGGTGACATTCTGTACAGAGATCGCGTAAAATGGATATTCTAGGAACGGCATACTGACCGAGTAATGTAGAATATTCAACTGAAATGTACAAGGTACAAAACAATAATCCTGACTGTCAAACAATGATAGTGATGATCATTCCAATAAAAGCGACGATAATTAAAGGAACAGATAGTACCAATGCTGAGACACTACTAATTCTAATACACGAAATAAGAGTCATTGTGGAGATTCTGTGATTGTCACGCAATATCAGCATTCCGCTTTAACTATTACCGAAGGAAAGAAAATAAAAGTAAATGTTAATCATATGAGCAAATAAACTTCCGAAGCTTCCGCGTAAAAATTGTCGTTTGCATCCAATACTGACATTCTGTGACAAGCTTCTGACGTTTCCACCAAAGCTAAAACGGTCCTTCGCCGCGACAAAGCCAAAAATGTTACATTACAGAAATTCTCTCACTCCGACATATTAAAATAAAAACGATAAAACAACAGGGCCTATTTGTCACGAATTTTATTCTAACGACTGATTGTTAGGAGTTTTTACGTAACATCGATTAAGACATAAGGCGATCATGAAAGGTCAGTAGTCAGGGATGAAAAGGGTACTAAGAACCCCGCACACGACTAATGCACTCAAGGCCACGAAGACCCAGTACGTATGTAATATTGAATTCTGTCCACCGCCGAAGCAAACGACTAATTGAGATAAGCAACCACTTTTGTTTTTGTGGCCTAAAAATCAAAGTACATTGTGGCTCAGTTAGTTACGTCGAAAATGTTTTGCACCATACACTTCAACTTCAAATTTGAATACATTATGAGGCGGTAAATATACATGAGGACACGTCTAATAGTGCGCAAAGGAGGTCCCGTTTACAAGCGTAGATGCGAAGGACTACCAGCGTAGCTATGATGACGACGACGACGTCGGAATATTGCTGACAGTCGGGTAAACGATAAACTGTCCACAAGTAGGAGGATTGCTACAAGTAATGCGGTTAATCTCCAGTATTCAGGATAGAAATTATGCTTGGTCCCTTCGCAAAGCCTGACAAGAGTTTTGTATGGCGAGCGTTGATATTAATATTACTCGCTACATTGGGTTATTTTGTTACTTAAAACCACGAACGACCTTGCATAAAGCAGTTATTTCACAACTAGATAAAAACGGTAAGACCTGTAGTCAATTTATTGAAATAAAAGCGTGTAATTTTTTATTTTGTTGTGTGATTTTCTTTGTGTCGTGTTATGACAGAATAAAATGTATTTAAACATGAAAGAGAGAAAAACCTAATTAAAATTCGACTGTACAAACAAAACAGAACACATTATAAATATTAATTTTATACAATTTAAATGTTAGAATTTTAATTTTCCATGCGCGTATCTAGCAGTAAAATTCACCAGCACAAATTCAAAAAGCCGTCGTCTCGTCAGATGGTTTCATTCCCCACTCTTATACAGAAACGTGTCCAATTGTACCAGGAAAAATCTCAATGTTTTAAAGTGACGTCATTTGGTCACGGGCAGTGGTAACTGGGCATTTGTTTGGCAAGCACAGCGTGTTTCAAAAATATATAGGCCTGCACGTTACTAAAAGTAACGCAACTACATGGGGCAGAGTCCTTGAAATGCATCCTCCTTGTGGAAACCGAAGGTTCCTTGCAGACTTTTTATATCGGAGATGATATTGTAAGCCGTATACACAACCTATTAATAACAATAATAATAATAATAATCGCACATGTTTCTGCCATGCTAAGCCATATTCAGGTGCACAAGACTTTTGGGCCAAACGATTTTTCCATTAGTATACAAATCGTGTTTATGCAACTTCCATCCAAGTGTCTGTTTTACATTTATACGTATGGCTGTTACTTTTATGCTTTTGAACTTGGGATAATTTTGTGGCAATTTGAAAGTTGAAATTACTTTTACACAGAAATTAACAAAAAATCTAACTTGGGTTGCACATATTGCTGTATCCACAAGGCAGCTTTAAACGTAATACTGCGCCAAGATGGGGCTTCAGTTGTTATCAAATTAGGGTGGATACGAAGGCTGGTTGCTTTTATTATTCGTAGTTCAACAAGAAAGGGTACGGAAAGTTATAACTGGGAAATCAAAATGCTATCTACCAGAACAGTTTGTACGTGAGACACAAATATTGGTGCTTCGTGATGTGTATTGAATGCTATCAATGTGACTGTGTTAAATATATATTACTTACAACGTTAAGATACAGTTAACTTATTAATAATAAAATTATGTGTTTCACTTGACAGTTATTTGGCATATTGGACTTGACATGCAAATTTTTCTGTAATAAACACGAACTCTTTCTAGTCCAAATTATTAAACCTCTGAATTTTAAAGTACGTGGGTTATTTTCGCCATTGAAAAACTGCAAGGAAAATGAATTCACATCAATCAATCATTCTTTAAATAATCTTAAATATTTTATATTCTTTAAATAGAGGTAATTAATTATTTCTCTCCCTGTACTCTTCAAAATGTTAAATATCTTTTTTCTAAAGTTAAGGTTCTTGTTATTTATTCGGAGGGGGTCGTAGAGTGTAAACTACCTTATTCTGCTGCGTTTGACTTAAGGGATGTAGCCCAGACCAGCCGCGCAGTATCCGTGTTACGACCTTGTGTGCAGGTAAAATCAGACTGGCAAGAAGTTAAGTATGGCACGCAACAGACTACGATAGGTGGCGGTGGTGTGGAGGTAGGGACAGGAACGGTAGAGCACACGGGAGGTTAGATATAGTTTATCGCTATCAGTCTCTTAAAGATGGGGTTTATGATGATGTAAGTTCCATTAATATGAACACAGCTTTGTAATGTTAAATATATATTAAATCTTTCTACTGTGTTCACAAACTTTCCTTTTCTAATAACATGTAGGATTTTGATTTTCCAAGATCCATTCTAACATTGACCAAAGGTGTACGTCTAGATCTCTTCCCTTCAAGCCTTTCAACCAATATTTGTGAGTATTTCTCATTTTGCCATGCGCACTAGAGCGTAAAGAACACGAAACAGATAACATTTTGACAAAATGAAAAGAACTGACATTCAGCGGTTCATTATCGACCACAAATTCTGCACGACATAGAACAGATATGAAAGAATGGACAATGCGTAATATATGTTGTCCAAAGTAACACATACGTAGAAGAGCCTTAAGCAACTTGCCATTTCAATTCGGTTGGGGAAATTTATACAGCGTGACATGTTTCACGGAACATGATGATGATGATGATGATGAGATTATTTACCTGAGTGGTGCGTTTCTTGCACTTGTCAGAGGCCGCAAAAATGTTGAGCTGCGTACTGTCAGGAGGCAGGGGACACTGGTCGATGTCCACCCTGCGCAAGTCAATATCAATACCACTCGTCCCTCTGCAACAAAGAGAAAAAATACCTCTTATCGTGGTTTGAGTATAAGTACCGAATAACTGATAGTCAGAAGCAACAACAACAACAACACACTGTCACTGAAGTTGGTACTTTAAGAACAAAGGTTTTAAAATGCTTGCTCCTGGTTGCGTCCATCCGTGTCTGTTTAGGGGTCAAGCCAAGCACATGGCTAAGGCGAAATTCCGCAGAAATCAGGTCAAAACACAGCCAGATAGCCACTACCTCCCTATTACGAGTTACTTTCGTGCACTCAGCGCAAGAAACGCATTAAAGTCCCAAATCCTAAGTTTTCATTTCAGAATAACCCACCGCATTCGCAAATTTGCAAATAGCACATTAAAATCGCTCCGTCACCTGCCTGTCTGTCTGTTCCCTGAAGTACAAAACAACTTTAGAAGATATAAACCGATTTTGAAAAAAAAAAATGATTAAAACTTTAAGTAATTTTAATTTTTACTTAAATCGGGCACTTTAAATGACCACTTTACATAAGGTCTGCGTTTTCTTCGTTTTACGACTGAATTCTTAAATATTATTTTGATGATCTTCGACTTCCAAGGGTCGAAATCACTGCAGAACCTTTCTGCGGAGGCTATTAAATAACTCCACTTCACAAATTATTGTTTCAACACTAATTAATAATAAAATACAAACCTTTCTCGGCTTCAAAGAGTTGAAATCAATAAAGGACAAGTATGACTTATCAACATCCTTCAACAATATATGCAGTAACATAAAGTTCTGACATTTATTAAGAGGCACAGGCGAAGGGGTAGACCGTGTTTAAGTGGTTGAGTGTGTGATCAAACGGAGGGATTCTGCAAATAATACATGAACTTTAAAACCATGGAATAGCTTCATCAGATATTTTACTATCAACGTTTCAAGAATTTATCTGTACAACCGACGCTGTCATTACGTAGGAATGCAGAGCGTCGAAAGACAGATCATGAATGCAGTGGCTAATGTGTGGAAAGAAGCGGTCGTGACCTAATCTCAGGAGTTATCTAGGCATTTGTCTAGAGGGACTTAGAAAAATCACGAAAATCTGTCAAAATATCCGGTACCCGAGCCGAGACCTGAACCAAAGAACTCCCGAATGCGGAGTGGAAGCGATAACCACTTCATACGCATGGTAAGTTGTTATTTCATTGAACAAATACAATTTATATTTACATTTTTCTGCGGTGGACTGGAAGGGTAGTTAATAGGATCTGACAAGTTAAAAGTTCGTTTCGCTGTTTTAATCGTGCGGAGTGGCAAATTACTTTGATGAGTTCAGAGCCACGTGAACTGGGTAATTACAGCGTTATATATAATTATATATGTATTTATGTATCGGAAAGAGGTCACGTGGTAATATCGGTAACCAAGTGCGTGCGTGCTACAGCTGCAAGCTGTGACGTCGCTCCGATTACAAATGAACCTGTCACGCTCAAAGAGCAGACTCCAGCAACGTTATGGCACTTGGTAACCTGAATAATCGGAGATCCAGCGGTACAAGACTGAAGATCAAACCAGCCATTATTTGATTCCTTCTTTCCTTCGTTTGTCGTCTCTTTCTTTCCTCCATTCGGCGAGGTGAATAACGCGTAGAAATGCACTTCCACGTTCCCTGTACACATTCACGACATCGTTTCTCGATACAGAAGCAAGTTCGCCTTTTACTTTATTATGATACTGACTTAAACAGGGTTATCATAACCCCCCCTTTGCAAACAAACGGGTTTCTATGGGCGCTTCAACACCGACGATACTGCATCTGTATACAGCAAGAAACACTTGAGACATGATTCGAATATCTTTATATCATTGGGGGTGGCATCGAATTCTGCTGCAATTGGACAGCCTCGAGTGACCTGTCTTCCAACATATTACTCTGTGAGATGGAGGAGGATGTACAGGGTCGTTCTTAGATGAAGCAGCCCCAACGATTTAGAGACCCGCACCTCCTGGACAACACCCGAGACAATGACTACGTTATCTTGTCCTAAAAACAGAGTTGCCCTGAGGAGTTCGCTCAGAACCGAACATAATCGACGGTGGAACATAGAAAAGTTAAGATGGAGCTAAGGCACGAGAGAGTAAGTTAGTTCCTTAAAAATATGCGAGCCTTATTACGGTTATATTTTTCTAAGATTATTAGGATTATCGTAAAATTTAGAAGGATGAGAAAAAATTATACATGCACACGTTTTATCTGAAAAATTACTTGGCGAGCCTAGACAGGAGGATGTTATTAAAATGAATCGTAGAGAAACACACCACAACTATGTATGCTTAAATAACACACACTCAGATCCTGGCAATGAGGAATCTCCACTATTACGTGCAGAAACACACAACAGTAAATTGCATGTGTCCACTTATTAGCCTTCCGGACCTGTTTTTCTGTTATCACAGCTTGTCGACTCACGACCTGTCATCTAGAAGCATTTTGAATGCTTCCAAGGTACTCCATGCGCCACACTTCTTCGCTGCATTATTCAGATTTGTAGGATCTGAGGTTCTCATGACAGTGAGTCCGAAGATGGCTGTCTTCTGGGTTGTTGCGCCGTGTAGTCTGTTAGAAGTTCGCCAACGTTTCAGTTGGAGGCAGCAAGAACCTTTGAAACGTTTGCAAACTTCTAACAGACTACACGGCGCAACAACCCAGAAGACAGCCATCTATGTGAAGCATAACGCTCCTGTAAAAAAAATGTACACTTCAGCGAGATATGCGTTTCAGTTCATGTAGAGGTATTAGATACAATAAGCCGTTCTTAAGAAGTTTGATAAATATTAATTCTGGCTTCACGAGAAGTTGGAATGTAATTTCAAAAATACGAATTAAAATTAAATTCACCCTTCATATTTCAATGCATACCCCAAATACCATAGCTGGAATAAAAAAACCAACACGAAGAAAGATAAGACATCCTCATTACTCATTCCTTTTTTTACTTCTTGGATCATAATAGAAGCTGAACACGAAATGTTTAATCAATGGTATATATGGTCAGAAAAATAGTAATTGCTGTGTGCAATGCCTCCGCACTTTTAGACCTAATACAAGCTCCTTGTTTTCCCCTATGTATTTACATGACTGTGTTGATGATTACTTTTAGAGATCCTAGCTAATTACTGCACAAGAACAATCGGCTGTTCAATTACATGGAGTTATTAATTTTGTTGATTATTGATACTTGATTGACGTTCCGTTACGCATACCACTAGATAAAGTCTGATAGTGCTATAATATCAGTATAATTTAATTAACAACACTGCAAAATATACCACGCAGAACCATTCACAGCATTACAAATATAATATCAATCGCTATAACATTCAGAGTGAATCTACAGTGAAAATAATTCCTACATTTGGCAGTAAACTTCAAACCAACCCACATCGAAAATTCATTTACATCCGTTTCACTATTGTGTGCTAATTATATTAATCTATGTTTGCCATTTAATTCTATATGCAATACAGAAGCCATTTTAAAAATATTTCGAATTGTTTACGCTTAAATATGTTTACTATCGCAACATTTTACCACAATGATCACTGAACAGCACCAACGCACTGACTATGTGACGAAAATGCAGATCGCATCACGCCCTTATTAGTCATGATAACTGCATTCAAATTTCTGCCTATCTGCTGTCTGTTCCGTCAACCCCAAGCAAGCAAGTCTGGGATGGCGGGGGTTTGCTGTAAGTGACTACTACAATGGCTGTGTTGCCTGTTGCCTAACATTCCATTTCCGTCACGAGGTGATTGGTTACCATTACGTTTATAGATGTCTTATCACTTTTTTATTTTTAATGTTAGTGGCGACGGACAGTATAGAAATCGAAGCAAATAAAATATTTGGTTCATACGATAAACAAATTGTCGAACAGTCCTATTTGTATATTTTCAGGCTTTATGGTTTTGAGTGCTGTAAGGGAATATAAAACATGATCTTTCAGAAAGAAGCGATCAAATTTAAATATGCTGTACACATAATTTATACTGTTGAGTACATTTTGGAAAATCCTACAAAGAAGAGGGGCTAGAGAAGAAATTAAGGAGTCCCTAGTTCTAAAGCATATTTCTCGTGGAACACAGCGTAATATTTTCAGGAAAACTTTTACTAAAGCTTTTCCTTCTGAAGTACGAGATACAACAGAGCACTATGTATTGTTGAATGATAAACTAAGGAGATTTTAGTACTAATTGGTACAGTGGCTTATTGCTGTGTTCCCAGGGGGACGACAGCAAACTGCATTCTGATACGCCCTTAGCTTCAATAAGCTTCTTACTACAGACTTCGTTATTTAAACTTACGTGCAGTCCCTTACAGCAGGACTAAATGATCGCGAGAAGATGGTAAAAGACAAGACACCACAATTCACAGAACCGCGCAGTTTGCAAGTAGGACAAACCTAATAAAGACAACTTCCATCTATCTAACTGTACACTGCTGTATTTTGGCTCATATACGGTTAAGACTTGTGCACTGAAAGTGGAGGAGTTGAGTTCCTTCGACACAATGATAATATTAATAGACTACACGGCGTCGCAATAGATCGCTGTCTACAGTTTGCCAGTTGCTTCTGCGTGCAAGGAACGAAGCCAATATGAATATAATAATTATATTATAATAAATCCAACCAAACCTCAGGTCAATATAAAAATAATTTTTGATCGTGTGAGTAATGCTGGTTATATGACACGTAGTAGAATCTGCAAAATATCCACCAGGGAATTCATATAATCTATATCATTACGTGGTGTTAAAGATTTTTTTTTAATTTGCAACAACTTTTTGCGCAAACGCGGAGTTAAAATTATTTTAAATGATTAAAGATGTACACACTGGGTACAAAGTTCCAGTAACACAAGTCCTTGTGTTCATGAATCTCGTTTGTCACAGATTTTTTAGCTACGTTTTTAATAGTACAAGCTCAAATCTCGTTCCTGCTGCCGCGTTTTGAATATCCTGAATAAAAAAG